TTATTTATTTTATTATTATTTTTTCTATAAAATTAATAATTTTAATAATAAAAAATAAAAATATTTTAAAAAATACACTTATTTGTTTTTAAACATGTCCTTATTAATCATTTGATGTTAAACAACAACCGCTAGTTATTGTATAACCAAACAGTTATATTTATCGAATCCGTTATTTACCATCCGCTACTTACTTTCCGCTATCCGTCATCCGCTATTTGCTAACCGCCACCCGCTACCCGCTACAGCTATCCGTTATCCGCTACTCGCTACCCGCTATCCGCTGAATTTTAACCGCTGTACCAAACAGGTCCTAAATCTTAATAGAAATCATCTTTTTAGTTCCTCTCCTAAAAAAGAATAAAGGGGGTTTTGTAAAAAGAGAGTAAGACTGCTTTTAATTAAGAAAGATGGGAAGATTCAATAAAATTTTACGTCCCTTTAGGAAATACAAACAAATGAAGACAGGATTACGGCCGATTTTCGCTATAGAACCTTTTTAAGTTAAAAATAAAAGAAAAAAAAAAACCATGTACCATGGAGTAATGAAAAGTGGACAACTTGACCAACAGTATAATTTTTTTTACTTATAATTACATTATATATATATTTTTTATTAATCTTTTGATATTTAATAATTATATTAAATTTTAATTAATTTAAAATTAAATTATATCAAATTTTATATGAAAGAAACTCTTTCAATATTTTATTTTTTTATTTATAAAATTTTAATTTAAAATTTTACTTAAATAAAATTAATTTTTTTATTCAAATTAATAAATCATTATTTATAATTACACTATATTATTTGACCGTTTGTGATCTCAGATCAGTTTTGTGAAACTAAATTAGTGAAAAACAGACGCAATGATTCCTACGAAGACATGGTTTTGGTACGTATGAAGATATGGTTTTTGTTTTTTTTTTTTTTGATGAAGGGATAATTTTTGAGAAGGGGGACTTGAATCCAACCGATAAAATTGAGTGACATACATTATTATTAAGTGACTTACAAAATCAAATGTGTATAAAGATATGATTTGATTGGGATGGCCAAATTTATTATTTTATTTTTAAAAAAAAAATAAGCACCATTAAATTGTTCCTCTTGACCCGTGACAGAAAGTACAATCATTGATGCTCTATAAATGAGATTTGATTTTTATTAGGAGCCGGTAAAAAAAAAAGGTTTAAGTACTATTTTGGTCCCTCAACTTTTCATTTTAGTATCAAAATTGTCCTTCAACTTTAAAAAGTACTAAAATTATCCTCATACTTTCATTTTCGGTACTAAAATGATCTTTCCGTCAGTTAAATGACAGGTGGCACGTTAAAATGCCAGCAAATCAATTTTTTTTTGCTTAACTAATGACATGAAAAAAAAAAAACATAGTTGGATATGTTTTATTATGAGATGGCATTTTTTTACCGTGGCATTTTTTTACACGTCAAAATATCATCTTCTTAGTTTCTCATTTTAATTTTCTCATTTTAATGGGGCCCACATAAAAATTTGTTTTCTCTTTTTTCAGTTTCAATCAAATTCCCACAGTTTTCTTCGTTTCTCCTTTCATTTCCTTCTCAAATTAAAAACCCTAAACCAATCAGATCATCCTTCTTATTCTTTCTCTCCAAAATCAAAATCAAAATCAGAGTCTCTCTTCTCCCTTCTTCCTCTCCAGATCTGGGTTTTCAGCCGGCGACATGGGTGATGGTGGAGGCCTCTCAAACCCAGATCTAGGTTTCCTCCCCCCATCACCCCCTGCCACCACCTCCGAAATGCCAAGTTGGCTCTTCGTCGCCACCTGATTTGCCTTCGCATCCAGCTCCTTCCTATTTCCTCCCCCATCACCCCCTACTTCTTCATCTTCAGGATTTGTCGACGTTTCCTCTTTTTCCACGCCTTCTTGCACAGCCCCGTAGGTACCTTGCAAAACCCGAACACCAGTAGCTCCATCACCGTGCAGGAACAACATCAGCAAACCGCCACGCACCCTGCCGTCCCTACACCCAGATTTGGGTTTTCTTAGGCCCCTGAACCAGCAAGCCTGTAGAGACCATTGAAGAGAGATTAATATCCGGTACCTTCTTGAGGCGGATGGCGAGGATAGCTTCGCGGCCGGAAGTGTTAGAGGTGGAGGAAGAAGAGCGAGGGTTCCTAGTTGTAGAACTTGTGCTGGAGGTGGTTGTGGAGCAGTGGACCAGAAAAGCAGAATATATCCGTTTACCAAAAGAGAAGGGAGAGACGAGATCTGGGTTTTCTCAGGCTTGCTGAACCAACAACGGGGGAGGAGAGATCTTCCTCTCTGAAACCCAGATCTGGGTTTCAAAAAAAATTTATAATTTGCGAGATGAAATCGCCGAACTATCCTATTTTAGTTTCGGAGCTGTTTTGATTGCTATAGATATTTTCTTCATCTGGTGTGTTTCTTTTGTGGTAGATAGATTGTGATTGATCTTCATTTGATATTTTCTAAATTGTGATTGATCTTCATTTGATATTTTCTAAATTGTGATTGCTATGGATATTTTCTTCATCTAGTGCGTTTCTTGTGCGTTTCTTTTCTGGTAGATCTTCATCTGATATTTTCTAAATTGTGATTGGTATTGGTATGCTGCAGAGTTCTACAGAGTTTGTTTGAAACCCAGATCTGGGTTTCATCACAATCAACTATTAAAAATTTTTCCAAGAAACCCCCAACGAAAAATACACACTATTTCTTCTCGTTTATCGAATCGATCATAACCACTGCCTACATTCCAAAGCTTCTCGGCCGTTTGAGAAAACCCAGAACCTGGGTTTGTAGAGGTAAGAGAAAAGGAAAGGTAAAGGAGAGAAAATGAAAGAGAAAGGAGAAATCTGACGTGGGTGAAAAAAAAAATTATTATTTTTAAATTAAATGAGAATGCCAACTCATAAAAAAAATTGCCAACCATGTTTTTTTTTCCATGTCATTAGTTAAGGAAAAAAAAAGGATTGATTTGTTGGCATTTTAACGTGTTATCTGTCATTTAATTGACGAAAGGATTATTTTGGTTAATGGTTAAAAAATGAAAGTTTAAGGATAATTTTAGTACTTTTTAAAGTTGAAAGATAATTTTAATACCAAAATGAAAAGTTGAGGGATTAAAATGGTACTTAAACAAAAAAATAATCACCAAGCAAGCACATATACTTTTGAGAGAGCAAACTTGGAACAATAAAAAATGGTTGGTAATTTAAAATTGAATTACATCATATTTTATATAATTATTTTTTATTTATAAAATTTAAATTAAAAATTTTATTTAAAAAAGATAAATTTTTTTATTTAAATCAATAAATCATTTATTATACTTACACCATATAATTTTTTGTTTGTGATCTCTAATCAGTTTTATGAAACTAAATTGACAAAATTTTATTTTTAATTATTTATTTTATTAAATTTGTAAATTTTAATTTTAATTTTATATTATAATATTTTTAATTTTTTACCTATTAAAATTAAAAAATAACCTTATTTATAACATTTTATTAGTTTTATTAGCTGATTGTTAATTAATAAAAACTTATTTTCAATTAATAAAGTTAACAGTCAATTAATAAAACTATTTTATTAACTGATTGTACTTTATTAATTGATTGTTAATTAATTATTAGTCAATAAAACTTACTTTTAGTTAATAAAATTAAGAATCAACTAATAAAATTAACAATCAATTAATAAAATTAATGAAATATTATAAAATTTTAATTATTTTTTAAATTTTAATAAGTAAAAAATTAAAAATATCCTTAATATAAAATAAAAAATTAAAATTTATAAAACAAAAAATAAAGAGTAAAAAATAAATTTTTATCAATTAAATTATTAAAAAACAGATGGAATGATTCCTAAGAAGATATGATTTCGGTACGCACAAAAAAATGATACACTGACCTTATAAATCACTTTATAATGATATGTATCACTCAATTTAGGTTAAATGTTAAATTTGGTCCTTCAACTTTAGTGAGTTGCACATTTTTGGTCCCTCAACAATTTTTTGCACTTTTTTGATCCCTCAACTATACAAAATGCACTCCGTTAGTCCTTCTGTTAATTTCGATCGTTAACTCGCTTATGTGGCATTTTTTATTATTTTTTTGATGACGTGGTAAAAATAAATTGAAAACATGTTGATGTGGATTTTTTTTTTCATTATGTGGATTTTTTTTCATGCCAACTCATGATTACTATTTATATTTAAAAAAAAAAAATTTCGTCTTCTTCCTTTCTCTAATTTCTTCCTCTTCTTCCTCGGGCCAGGCCATTGAACCCAGGGCCATTGAACCCAGCACTGGGTTCAAGGGAACCCAGCAAATGGGTTCCATCGAACCCAGATCTGCTGGGTTCGACAGAACCCAGCTCCACTT